CCTGTTGATCCCCCTCCCACAAGAGGCCAGGCTGGCCCTCATCTTTGTTGTCCTTCCTCAAGCCGTCAAAGACCTTCTTCAGGCAGGCTTTCCCTTAGTGACTGACAGTCTGAGAGGGATTTTTGAAATGGATAGTTCTACCTCACTGCTTTGAATGTGTTTTTGGTATTGATTTTATTCACTGTATTTAATATATTTGTTTGATTTTTTTTTTAAAAAAATTGTATACTTACTGTTTTTGCTTTTACATGTTGTCTTTTTCATGATGTAAGCCACTTTGGGTCTTTTTTAAGGAGAAAGGTGGTGTAACAGTATTTTAAACAAACAAATAAATAGCTTGCTTCCTCTTCTCTGACAAAAAAAACATTGACTTCCAGTAGTTACTTTCTGTTTTCCTAGTACTGTTCCCTTAGCCTTACCTCAGACTCAACATAATCTGCCCTCCTTGCTGATTGGCTGCTGTCAGTCATGGACAGGCTGTTCATGCACTGGTATGAATCCTTGAGCTTAGGAGAAAACAGATGACTTCTGTTAGGAGAATCGTCATATAATAAAGCCATAAGATCATACAAAATGGCAGCTCAGAGTGTAGTTTCCCCACCCAGTCCCTTCTAAAGGAGTTAGACAACAACTTCTATCATTTCTAGACAGAATGGTAATCAGCCATGATGGCTTAGACATGATGGGAGTTGTAGTCCAATATATCTGACAGGCATTTATCAGAGACGATTGGCATAGAGTAATATTAGGCATGTTTACTGTGTGGCGAGATGGAAAAAGGGAATCCCAGATGGATCATAGAAGCAGGAAGGACCAGGAAGGGGAGAATGTAATGAACATGTCCACCTGATTTACATGTATGCATACAGGTCAGGCTTCTCTATAAGCAAAGTTGTCTCAATATCTTACAGGTAAAAAATGCAGTGTGTTATGCAATTATCTTCAAAGGGGACTCAGAGAATGCTTCTCTCATTCAGTTCAGCAGGTCCACAGTTTTCAGGTTCATGTTTGTGACTGGAATTCTGATGAATCTTCAGGCCATGTTTCCTGGGTGCCTGTGGAGCAACTACGTGATGGTGGCTTAAGATCCATTCTTTTGAAAGACGGAAGCAGTGATATCAAAGGTAATAAAATGATATTAATACATATTTGCCAACTGATATGGAGCAGTCTTAAGTTTCAGATAAAGACAAGAAATTTAATTGAAAGAATACAGTTGGTTTATGAGCTATAGTAACCAGGATTTCCCCTCCATTCTTGGTTTTAACTTTGTTTGCTTCTTGATAACTTTGTAATTAATTTGGATCATGCTTCTTATTGTCTCAGGAAGAGACTTGATTTGACTGTCCTGAAGGATCCATCGTGCCTGGAATGTCCTGTACTTCTTAAGCCCTTTTGTCACAGCAGGATAAGCAGTAAAGGCAGGACTTTCTATTTGCTTATGTTATAAATAATTTTTCTCCCCCTGCTCCCCTGAGTGATAAATTCTACTAAGACAAGTTATATAAGATGAAAAATATATTTTACAAAAATGAAATTCAAAGGCCCATGGAGAAGGGACCCTATGCATCATCAAGTCCCGCCCCTATCATGGAGGCACAGTGGGGAATTGAACTCATAACCTCTGACTGCAGACCCAGGGGTTGGGAGCTCAATTTCCTACTGTGTCCCTGTGACAGGGGCTGGACTTGACGATCCGCAGAGTCCCTTCCAGCTCTACAGTTCTAGGATGATGGTGGTCATCATTCATTTCACTAGTGTGGGAATCCTAAGGTACTCTGAAATGTATACAAAACACTATTGAAGAAGAGGTGCATAATATTGATTTCATGATTCCATTTTAATAGAGGGAGAGTTAGAGGAGGCAAAATTGACAAGGTCCTGGCACACCATTTGCAGTCCCCTTTTAGAATGGTAGCAAAAGGTATTGGCACAAAAAGTCTTAGAATCATAGGGCAAAAGAGTTGGAAGGAATTGGAGTCCGACTTTCTGCTCAGTGCAGGAATCCCAGTTATATATATCTGATGGATAGCTGTCTAGCTTTCTCTTGAATTCCTCCAGTGTTAAAGAGCTCACAACTAGCTGATTTACACATCAAGCTGCTAGATGTGTATGGATAACTGTTATTTGTTGTTGTCAGTTTGTGAAACAGAAGGACTTCATTGAGGAGAAGAGATGAAGCAGGGCAAAGACAAAGAGATTTCTCCCCATCCCTTTAACCCCTTCCTATCCACCTCAGTTTCTGCTTCTCAGCTCAGGAATTTTCTTGTTTAAGCAGGAAATACACGAATGGCTTTTTTGTGTACAACTATATAAAAACTAGGTATGGGAAGAGGTATCTCTTGGCTTCATCTGGGAAAGATGCTGAAATAGGGTTTAATAAACACCAGGATGATCATTTCAAAAATCAGTTGCAGTCCTTTAAGCCTTGCTATCAGTAACCATAGTCTGTTTGCTAATCAAGATATTTGTACTTTTTGATGACATAATATTTTTTGTCTCCTTATCACACATGCAATATATAAGAGGCTCAGTTCTATCGGCATTATTATTACTTGATTTTGTAATTTTACTTGCGAGCACTTATTTGATTTATTAATTTGTCCATAAGTGCTAGCAAGTAACATTACAGTAGATTGGAGCTGATGAGTAATTACTTCTGTGATCAATGGCACCCATTTATTAGGGTGATGGGACTGAGAGAAAAAAAAAGCAACTGGCAGTAAAAAAAATGATATGCATCCTCTACATATCCTTCAGTGGGATCTCCTAGAATAATTGTTCTGATAAATTGTTTGTGGGTTACATTGACAATACAAAGGCTGAAATCCAGTAGTAAGGAATAATTGTTCTGATAAATTGTTTGTGGATTACATTGACAATACAAAGGCTGAAATCTAGTAGTAAGTTGAATCAATGGAGCTTGCAGAGGAATTGAATTGCCAAATCCCCACTGATGCAATGGTTCTACTCTAATTGGAGCTTACTATTGAATTTCAGGCTATTGACAGTCCAAGCCATGAACATTACATTTTGGCTTGTAGCCTATTGTTTTACCTGAATTGATGACCACTGGTGTGTAACTTTGTTGTTGTTTTGAATGACTGGAATTCTGCTGTGATTTTACACCAATGTATCTTTTGGAGACAAATTACTTCAAATTAAGAAGTCAACATGGACATCATCTGTTGTAATCTCAGCTCTGGGGCTTAGTACACAACAGATAAAGATTATGCTGATTTCTTAACTTGAGGCGATTCCTCTACAAAAGTTACACCATTTGCATTCTAGGTGTAACTGATAGAATTTGGGCTAGTGGATATTAAAATTTTTAGTTATATATAAAAAAAGAAAGAAGGAGCTCTCAGTCAACTTCTCTGTGTATTTGACCACAACACATAAACCAGTTCTTCCAAACCTTCGCTTCCCAGATGTTCTTGGACTACAACTCCCAGAAAATCTAGCAAGTACAGCTAGTGGTGAAGGCTTCTGGGATTTTTAATCCGAGAAAATCTGGAGGCTCAAGGTTAAGAACCATTGGTATAAATAGTTTATACTACTCACTCCCATTCCTTGAGGGGGAAAATCTTCACTTTCGGCAAGGAGATAGAAGGTTGGGCCTTTCCTCTTCCATCTTCTACAGAGCCCTTCTGCCCTGCTGATGCTTTTCATTTTATTACAGATGAGAATATCAGACAATGGTGAGGAGGGTGGGGTGGGAAGAAAATGGAGTCCTCTAGTCACATTAATTTGAACTGAGATGCTTGCCTATTCCTGTCTCCAAGCTGTAGTGACAACTACTGTCTCTAGAGTCAGAATGGGGTTAACAGGGCCTGCTTCAGCCAGGTGTTTCTCAGAAGAGGTATAAGGCTGATTGCTCAGCTCTGAGACTGCTTTAGAAATGAAAGGGTATGAGTGCAAGCAGGCTGTCTCCAAAAATTGAGCTCCAAAGCCATTATGAGGATTTGTCATAACTTCAGGCCAAACCTAATAGTGAAGGGGTCTTGGCTCCTTACTTTTTACTTGCATGAATTCCATTTATTAGGCTTAAAAGATAAAGACTTAAAGGGAATTCAAGTTAGCCTTATGTTATTTGCTTTCTTGACCAATGTCCATAACCTATAGTCAGGAATTAATATGTCATTATGGGAGTTATAGCCATCTACCAAAAGTGAGTGGGTGGAACCATGTATCATGATTATAATGTGGTGCACTTTGATTAAAACTGGAATTTTTGTCCCAGCCAATGGAATGTATCAGGACAAAAGATAATACCATATTAGTCATTCAAGACTAATTTGGCTCCAACTTCAAAATTCTTAACCTTGGGTCTCCAGATTTTCTTGGAATCAAGGCTGACATTGATAGGATCCTTTGCAAGTTACTAATTCATAGGGTCACCATGATAAAAAGCATCTTGTCATTCAGTCCAAGATTTTTTAAAAATCTGTGCAGATAAAGGTTTAAGTAAGGGAAACAACTTTATCTTATGAAGAACTATAGCTCATTGGTAGGGCATATACTTCATATTCTGTGATGTTTCCAGATGGGAGGTTGTTGGGTAGTAAGGGAAACAACTTTATCTTATGAAGAATTATAGTTCATTGGTAGACATATACTTCATATTCTGTGATGTCTCCAGATGGGAGGTTCTTGGGTAGCAGAATTTGAAAAGTCTTTGAAGAGCCATTGTCAGATGGAGTAGACAATATCTGACCATACAGACTGAATCATCACTAAATAAATAAATAAATAAAATAAATTTGAAAAGTCTTTGGAGAGCCATTGTCAGATGGAGTAGATAATATCTGACCTTACAGACTGAATCATCAGATTCTGTATAGCAAAGTTTTCTGTGATCACATGACAGACAGTAGACTATCTTTCAACAACTATAGAAACTGCTTTAAGTAGTCTAAGGTCAAAAAAGTAAAAGCAGAAGATGCATAGAATTATTATCTTTTTAATTGTTAGAAGATACCCAAAGTTTTTGAATTGGTTTGGTCCCACTTCGATACCTCATGCCTGGAGCATTTCCCTCTTTCTCATTATTTCACACTTAAATAGATATCGGAGATTAGCTTAGTGACTTAGAAAAAATTCAGTGTTGTTGCCAGTCTTCAAAAAGCGTTGTGTTGATGTTCAAATTTGCACATAAACATGCCTTTGGCTAATTTTGTTCATCCTTTCCCACTCTGTGAGTAAAGAGTAAGAAATCAAATCACAATGAAGCAACTGTATTCATGAAACAAATTTGATTATAGAAAGTATGAGTAATTCCTTTGGACTTACTCATAGATATATAAAAAAATTCTTTTGCTGACCTTGAGTGATATTTTTCTAGCTGCATGATTTCTATTTTACGTGTTATTAAACTCTGAGTTTTATGGCACTTGTGCTGTTGGGAGCTTTATTGAAATGAATGAGTGTTGTATCAAAGAAGACCTTGGACAGAAGAAAGGATAGCAAGCCACATGCCCATTTAATTGTCCTGCTATCAAGAGAGCTACATTTTGAGCTTGAATTAATAATTTTGGCACTTGGAGTTTCAGTGTCTTAATAATAATAATAATAATAATCAAGCACCGTCAAGTGAATTCTGACATACAGCAGCCCTTTTCAGGATTTTCGTGGTAGACAATACTCAGAAATGGTTTACCATTCTCTTCTTCTGAGGGCCCTTTGGGACTGTGAGACTTGTTCATGGCCACATAGGCTGGTTCTACTCACACAAGGCACATGAGTCTCTGCAGCCAAATGCCTAAACCACTGAGCTATCCAGCCAGCTCACATAAGATTGGCATCTGCAGGGAAAGCAGGGAGAAATAGGGGGAAGCATCTGGGTCTGACTGTACAATAGCCATATTGACTCCATACTGAGCCCATCTGAATTTTGTCTACCATTGCTTGGGGAGAAGCAGCTGCAGTGTATGCATTGGGATGGTCAGGATTCCTGCATTTCCAGCAATGGATAACAACTGGCAGGATCATACCTTCTGGGATTCTTTCTCCATTCTGGATCAAAGTCCCAGTTACTTTGCCCCTGATACAGCTCGGTCTACATTAAGTGTTTGTTTACAACATTTCAAGATTTGCTCTCCTCTTCTTGTTATAACCAGTAGATTACTGGCTTTTGTTTTGTGCTTTAGCGGTTTGCAAATATACTGGACAATTAAAGAGTTATAAAACAAGCAGAGCAAATTAGTAGCAAACAGATTTGTGCTGTTAGAATATTAATCACTCAACAGAAAGTATCTCCTGGATTGATGCCAGGACTGACAAGTATCTTTTTCTTTTCTCATGCGGTTGAAAATAAAATAATCTCGGTTATATATAGTAGCTATTCAGTTTTGTCAGAATAGATTGGTTCAGGTTTCCCCAAATCTGCGTTAGCAAAATGCAAGAAATAACTACTTCTTCCAACCCAGTAAGTGTTACATTAAAATCTCTGGTTTCCCCTGCCTGGTCATTGACAGTCAAGAGCCTTTCATATCACTTTGGTCTGAAACTTAAACAATGACATTTCAGGCAGGTTAATGATATTTTTCATGTGAATGTTCACCTTTAGAGAAATATGGCATTGTACACTAACCACTTTGGAATCCTTTCCAAGAAGTGAATGTGCAACAAATGACTAAATGTCAATTATTCTACTGATAAAGATCTATACAGCATCCTCACATGGGCCTTGAAAGAGATCTATATTTGTGTGTTCTTTCTCCACACAAACTATGATGTGGAGGCCACCCCTGTTGTTAGACTTATACTGTTGCATTCTACCATTACCTCCTTATAGCTGTTAATACCTTTATAGGAAACATGTATAAGGAGGAATATGCAAGCCAGCTCTTTGATTGACGGGATTCATACCTGATGCCAATGATTTCTGGCAAATTGAAACAACGGGGAAGGAGTTCCGCACTAGCAGCCACTGGCACAGCTGCTGCAGATTCACCGGCCATGTGGCAAATGCAGGAACTGTGCTGCTTGTGTACAATGATCTTCTGAAGCTCGCACCAGACAGAAGCAATTCTCAGTGCTCTTTGCTTGGCTGCTACATTATGTAAAATATGCTCTGTTGAGAGAGCATCTTCAAATTAGGCTTGTGTTATCCCACCTTGAATGATACCCTTTGGGCATGTTAGTTGTTTTATCATAGCATTTACTCATCACAGAGTGACCTATAAACTTGGGCTTTTTAAAATGGTAATCACTGTCAAGGGAAAGTTTACTGACAGCTTCAAAATGAGATGCAAGCTTCTGCGCTGAACGAGCTTCAAGGATATAGTTGTCTCAAAGCATAACTCTCTAACTAGAGTTTTTGATATACAGATGCATACAAATGAGAGGGATTAGAAAAGCTACTTGAATGGAATCTAATCTTTTATCCTAGATGCAGTCTGTGAGCTGCTTGATCTTGAGAAGCTGGAAATGGAAAGTCAGATAGAAACAGGATATCTTGATAATAGTAACACCACAGTATTGGTCATCCGGGGCCATGATTATCGAAGAGCTCATTTGAATATTATTGCTGCCCAAGAATGCAGCAGCAGATATTGTGCAGCAGCAGCAGTCAGCATTCCAGAAGCCAACTCAAAAAATAGAGGTGCCACAAACAAAAAATTATAACTGTGAAAGTGGTCTTTGGATCAGCACCAAATTTGTCACAAGAGAAAGTCTGCTTTTGCTCTGTGCCAAATTTGGGCATTTGGGAAAAGAGTTTTTAAATTATGACTTTAAAAAAGAAAAAGTTTTTACCCCGTGCAGAACCATGTGACTTGAAGCTCCGGCTGATATAAAGCTTATCAAATATACTGATAAGATCAAATATACATGCCTGAAAAGAAAATGCTTAGTGTCTCCTGCTTTTTGTTATTTTGTGGCAATTGAGCCATTCATTCTACAGGATACCCTCTTCTGCTCACTACCATTTACAAAGAGACACCACACAGGGAAGAATTCCAGAAGCTCCTTTTTAAATAAGTTAATCACTTCTCACCCCAACACAAAGCAATTGACAGGGCAATTTTTCAACAAGTGTGAATGGTAGTAAGCAGAGAGGGTATTCTGTAGACCATCTTGACTGTTGCCATTGACGTTGTCAACATTCAGGCTGCCCTTTGCTGTGTAAAGCTTGCCATCCTTTTCCCTTCTGGCAGCGTGGGTGAAATATTGTGCAGCAATATTGGGCTATTTCCTGGCTTTTTGAATCATGGGTACAATATTTCACATTCAAAAACTGAAGGGTTTTTAAAGAATTTATTTAAATTTTAATATATCAGTTCTTTCAGAATAATGACTTAAATGTAGGTTGATTGGGACAGATTTATCTGGGGGGGGGGTTCATCAGTAGGAATTACTTTTGAGCAGAGATGCATTAGAATTATTACACTGTAAATGTTAAATTTTATATATAACGGATTGGCAAATTTGCTCATCTGGCCCTATCTGTTTTCTGGGAATATTCGTGGCACCAAGGTTATACACTTAGCCAATTATCCCATCAACACATAGTGAAATGTGCATTTTGTAATCCCTTGTGAACTTGTAAAAGTCAAGACAAATGAAGAAGATAGCTTTATTTTGCTTCTATATCCCCTGTTTTTAACTGGTAGTAGAAATGTGGTTGAATTATCCCAACTGCATTGCCATCTATTTAAAAAGGAACAGCTTGCCATGCAGTTTTACATAAATAGCACAGTGAACAATAGAACAGTTCACGTTTACCTGTTTGCTTCTATGGGACCTAATGTATTTGCACCTTTAGAATGCTCTTAGCATGACCTTTGTGTCTTTTTGCCAGTTGTATTTCTAGAACCTTAGGCATGAATGAAGAAGAAGGAATTGTGTGCTGCTTCGAAAGAATAATTTGGTGTTTCAATTTTAATAGTAGCAAGCCATCACATTTTAAAATTCATATTAATGAGCGTTGTCCCTTCAGTAGCAGGAAACTTTGAAAGCTTTGTTTCCTGGCGTGGTTATGTCCTGTGGATAAGAGAGGTCCTGTGCTTTCATTTGAGTTCAGGTTGAAGTGAATAAGAGGTCAAGAGGTCGCAGCTTCTACACAGTCAAAAATGCCAGAATATCAATGATGTTATTGCTTTAAATTTCAGCTGCCTTGCTGGTCTTTCCAAATTAGCATTGACCGTTGGTCTGCTTTATTGCCAAGGTTAAATGAAATGACATGACCTGAGATGGAAGGTTGTGTGCTGCAATGGGAGAAAGTGAACATAATGTGCAGCAGGTACAGCAGGAAAGCCAGACATACTACCTGATCTCATTTTAGAACCTACCATTCTCTCTCTGGCTGCTGTGCCATTTTATTTCCTCTTTGATAGAACCGTTTTGAACAAATTCCGTATTTAGTATCAAAAATGATATTCACAGAGATGAAGGATTAGGTTTAATAATAATGAAGAACGGTTTCTAGAAAATTTTAGCTACCAGTGCCTGGAAATAGCTAGGGGACCTGATGATTTAGGAACAAAAAGTGATGGCATATTTGATAAAGAACAGGTGCCCGCTCTTTTTATTTCTGATAGATAAAAGAGAATATGGAAGATATAAGTCATTCTCTTAGGCCTCCATAGAGAGGCTGTTACCAGGAGCAAAAGGTCAGAAAGATCCAAAATTGGTTTCCAACTTCAGCAATAAACTGGTGTGCTTTTGAAACTTGGACTTCAGAGTTCTAGCTTATTCTTTTCTGTAGAAATGCCAAATAGATTTCACAATGACCAGATCTCATATCTCATCCCTCAGAAAGGAACATTTTTGAAAATTCTCTTGAATCTTGCAACAGGTTTTAGCTTTCGATCCTATAAATACGACTAAATCCCACTGAACACAGCAGCATCTCCTCCTTGAACAATATGTGTGTATTTGTAAATATGTATACTGTTTCTGTGTGTATGAAGAATGGATGTGGACCCATTTTTTTAAGGCAGCCAAAGTTATCATTTTTGAAGTGGTAGTCATATTAATCTGTGGAAAGCATAGCAACAGGAAACACAAAACAAAACAAAAGCAAAAAATAAAGACGACAAAGATGTTGTGGCACCTTAAAGAGTAAATGCTATATTTTAATGTGAGTTCTCATGGATCAAGTCCACTTTTTCAGACATAAGAGTGAAAGTACAGAGTCTACATGGCTCTAAGACAGTGGTTCTTAACCTTTGTTACTTGGATGAACTGCAACTCCCAGAAACCCCAGTCAGGACAGCTGGTGGTGAAGGCTTCTGGGAGTTGCAGTCCAAAACTCTTGAGTAACCCAAGGTTAAGAACCAGTGCTCTAAGATAACAAGATAGGTAGATAGACTTAGGTTGAAAATTGTCTGAGTCATTATGATATACCAATCCTAAAGTCTTTCTCCTCTGTGCCCATGAAGGATATATCAAATTTGTTTCAATTTAGGTCTGTGTTTATTTAATCTCTAGGACATAATTACAGAAAACTGATAATATTTTTTTAAAAACAATTAATACAGATATTCTTTTGCAGACCACTATAAGTGGATGCAAGCTGAAGACAGCATATCAGATAATAATCTGAATGCTTCAATGTGTTATTGCTTCGGTGACAACTGCCATTTTTGGTTTTATTATTCCATGGTAGACAACAGTACTCTTGAAGCTGTACTTTACACAAGTAAGGTAAGGAAAAATGTATCTGTGATTCAGCTTCAATTAATAAGGCAGACTTGCTAATGTGGAGAACATCTCCTCATTCCTTCCTTTTCCTTCCCATTCTTCAGCAATGAAAATGAGGGGTTTTTAAAAAGCTAAAAATGTCTTTACTGAGCCACTGAGTATTTTTTAAAGAAAAAGTTGTGTTTTTTTTAAAAAAATTCTGGTGCTTAACCAATCTGATTGTAAAACTTTGGAAAGGGCTGAAGCTGGAGAGAGAAGCAGGAAAGTTCAGGTTCAAAATTCATCCTGGCTACATGTAATCACAATGGGAATTATAGTTATTTAAGCTTCAGAATGGAGACTGCAAGCTTGGAGGGACAGTGGGATGTCATCAAGTTGTGCCTCCATATTCATATACAAATACCCCCACACAGGTGGACATAATACTATCTACTCACCTTCTGCTGTTGCTGCAGGCTTTGTGCTCCCTTCCTATCACTCCGGAGCTCACGGTTTGTGAGCCACTCTTTGACCTAGCAGTGAGTCTGGTGGCTCCAAGGGGCTGGACCCTTGTTATGTCCACCTGTGTGGAGGTATTCGTATATGAATACGAATACCGCCATCTCTAGTGTAGACTCAATTGCTTATCTCCATCTTTGATTCCCAATAATATAGACAAAGGGGTTTTAAGCTCTCAACAAACTGTACATTGATTGGTTTTTAGCATAAGCACCAAGTTACAAGACAGTCGAATCCCATTTCACTATACTGTATATAAGTGATTTACTAGCCAAAAAAAGGTCTGTGGAATCCAATTCATGATATTGCCTAGTGCAGACTCATGAAGGGAATGTCAGAAGCACTCTGGGAAAAGCTGACTGGGCTTTCAGGCAAAGGGGAATGCACAAAACCCCTCAGTCCGATGGCACTAGACAACAGCCCAAGCCCAAACATCAGTCTGAACTCCCATGAATCAATGGCTCTCGAGATGAAATCTTCTGTAACAGGACCTGAAGACACTCAGGGTCTATAGCTCTCAGGGGGGCGGGAAGCAGCACTTTTGGAGGCAAATAGCAGCCAGAGAGGTTGATTTCTAGCATGAACATAGGCCCAAGTCCCAGATTACATGTTACCTACATTAATCAGAAGTAGAAGACTTTTAAATACTCATGCACAACATGAGAAAGCTTGCATCTATTTGCAGGCTCCTCATAAGCATCTGGTTAGCCACTATGCATGTTTTCTGAAAAATATGTTTATTGAAATGTGCAGTTTGGCTGCAACTCTCTTCCTATCTGCACAAACTGCTTTGCTCTTTTGAGTGTCATGCTTAAAAGAATGAAGAACAAAATTAGGACTTGTGTTTAGGGACCCCAATGATGTTCCTTCCAAGGTCATCCAAACATAGAGAGCTAAGACTGAGGCCATTCACACGACTTATTTTGTTCTTTGTGAACATTGATACAAATTCCCATTAACACTCTTCCTGGGGGGAGGGGAGAGTGTGCATGTATTTGCATACAAACACACATTAATCTTTTTTGTCTGGCTTGTAACATTTATTGCACTTTAGTTTACATTTGCATAGATATTTTGTGATAATTGCTTAATTATTATGCCTAATTACTCTAAATGCCTTATCTTCCCTTGAGTCCATGAAATTAAAGCAGTAAACACTGCAAAGTACGTACAGATAATGGCATTTCAACAGCAAGCAATGCTGGAGTAGATGGCCATTTCTGATTATAGGCCTGGAAAAATTAGCTAAACTTGTTTGCAGAAGCCATAGATAATGTATGTGCACCTATGTAAACACTTGGATACATACATGATCGTTTATGTCCTGTCTTTGCCAGGATGAAAAAATAAGGCTATGGAAAGCCAGTGTGCCAACTAATAATGAATGGGTGAAAGCAGAAGTACAAATACCAGCTGGGCTTGAAAAAAGAAAGGTAAGAAAGAAAGACCACAAGAAAGACATTTCTGACTGTTATAGAGGAGAAGTGGGGAGAAGGCAGATCTGGATTTACTGGTCAATGTTGGGGTGATTTGCCATATATTCGCACTTATTTCTGTCTCCTAATTATTTGATTCTATTCAAGAATAGCTGAAATAAAATGACCCCTTATACTTCTGAAATAAATATGGTTTGGGATAACCAGCAGTGCATTTTTGTGTGAAAGAACTGCAACCTCCCTCCATTCAGTTTTGACCCTTTACAAAAGCAAAATTCTGGCCTTTAAAATATTTAATTCTGAATACACCTCCTTTGCACCAAGCCCTGGTCAGAAGCTCTCAGGGTTATTAGTATAAACGCAAAGCAAAAATAGTTCCCGTGAGCCTGAAATCTTCTCATCCCACATCTGGAGAGTCTGCTGCATATCTGAAGCATTCCATGTGCTTTCCCATGTTCTATTAAGAATGGAAGAATTATCCCTATGTCTGCCTGTAAAGTGTAAGAGAATTCTTCTTCATATAGAAGAATGAGGATCTCTGTGCAAAGTGTTTTGATTCACATGAGCCTTTTCAAAGAATTGACTTGACCGTCCAATACTTGACAGCTACGTTGCATGTGTCTGGAAAGAGGAAGGGGCACAGTAACTGACAGGACCTTATAACGGAGCCTTTCAGTGGCCACACAACACACAATCTGCAGGAGCACTCTTCCCATAAATGGCTGAGAGTCTCCTCTTTACAATTCAGCTTTAATCTTTCAAGAGAGTTGGGGGGGGGTACAGTGACTTCATCACAAACACTCTCCCCACCATGTCTGCCTTAAAACCCTACTGTTCTTCTCCCTTACATCCCATCAAGTCCCTATGAACTAAGCGAAGCTGAGAGATGTTGGTGGCCAACACCAGGATCATTGGGTGAATTTCACTGCTAAGTGAATTAGACCCATTTCATGCTAGTCCTGCATAGATATTTGGAGCAAAACTCTAACCAGTATCCTACTGTGAATCTCCTTTACGATCAGAAGCACAGCAAGAGTAGCAATCAGCTAGAACTGAGAGGATATGGGGTTCTGCCAGCAGCTGCTCCAATTGATTTTTCCCTTTCAAATTTGTTCACCCTGCCATTGCTTGACGAGTGTCCCAGTGCCATGGGGGCACAGTGTGCTCCACATTAGAAGGAAACCGCGGGCACACCTGGTACTTTGGAACACGTTTCCAGAAACATTTCCTCGTGGCAATGCTCTGCATGGTATCAACTGACAATATAACAAAAATCTATGACCTTGTTTTCTAGCCCCTCGTACTGTTGTGCAAACAACAAAAGGTCTCAAAGCATAACGGAGAACTCATTTAGCGTTAGTGTGTGGGGACCTCAGCCCACTTCTTCAGAGGCATGGACTCTGAAGAAGCAGATGTTAGTCCTCAGAGATTTTATGCCCAATAAAACATGCTAGTTTTTAAGATGCTGCAAGACTTTTTGCTGCTTTTGCAGCAACAGACTAACATGGCTATCCCACTGACAATATTATTCTATTATTCGTGCCCTGCTCCGCCTTGCCACTTCCTGGCTCATCTGTTGTGAATAAAACTAGAGGCTTGCAGGTGATGAAGAAAGGCAGAGCTTCTTGAAGAACCCATAGGGTAAAGCCTGGATGTACCAGCACTAATTTCCTCTCACTAGGCACTTCTCAGAATCCGTAAGTTACAAAGATGCTGTTGAAGCACAACAGGAAAAGGTGACTGGCTGAACAAGGAACAGGCAATTGTCACCTGTTCTGGTAAGCTACTTTCACTGGAGTTGGCTTTGTAATTATTAGCCTTAAGGCTCACCCCTGGCCCTGAGGACACAATAATAAATAATAGATTTGGCAAGGGATGGTGCCTTACTTCCCTCCTGTTGGGAGTTCAATGCCCACAGGCAGGCGATGGTTGAACTCAAGTAGAGGAACAAAATGTATTATGAGTTTATTTCTAAGAAAAGATATTCTGTAAGGACATAAAATCTGAGCACTTAAATTTCTTCTGCCGCTAATGACTTCAATTTCTGCGGTCCTTTCTCCTTTTGAGAGCTCTCAGGCACATTGCTTCTTTCTCTCTCAGCGATATTTCTTCAGCTTGCAGATGTAAAGAGTTCTTGAATGGCTTTGCTTCAGTAGATAAATGCTAAAGAAAATCATGTCAGAACATCGAAAATTGCTTGAGCCTGTTTTGCTGTTACAAAATTGAGACCCTCTCATTTGCATATTTCCTTGGCAGTGCGTCCTCAGTGAATTCAGTTGAATGTGCTTCATGTCTGTCATTGGAAACTTTAGTTGGGTTGACATGTGATTTGACTAGAATCACCTGCACATATTACAAACATTCATTTAAGAAAAGGACTGCCAGCCCCCTTCTGTGACATTGGGCTCACAGAACTCTACAAAAGAAAATATGAAAATAACATATCTGAAGACACTTGAACACAGACAAGGAAATTAGTTGTACCAATATGTCAGTCTTTGTCTCTTCCTTTGTCCCAGCTTCATTTAGAAGGAACAATGGAAAGCAAGATAAGCAGTATTTGTTTGGATCACTGCAGTTTTCAGGATAATACAATACCAGAATTGTCAGGAGCTTGCTCTTCTGAAGAATTTGCCTGTGCCAGTGGCCCTTGTATTGATAATGGCTTGGTCTGCGATTACCAGATGGATTGTATGGATGGAAGTGATGAAGATTTAACAGCTTGTGGTAAGTCAAATAAAATGAGGTTCTGTGAAATAGTCTAGTGGTGTAAAGATATTTCATCATAAAGAGGAATGTTTTAGAATATGGCTATTTTCTATACCAAGAGGAATTAGAGCAATGGTTTCCCCAGGCTATTGGATGAAACCCCCCAGAAGCCTTTACCACTAATTCTATCCGCCATGATTTCTGGGAGTTGTAGGCCAAGAACATCTGGAGACCCAAGGTTGGGAATCACTAGATCAGAGGGATGCCAAATATGTTAATGATGGTTAATTGGTAAATGCATATACATACTTCTTTCAAAGCTGGTCCTTTCCATTTCCCAACTGGTTTTGGCTTGGCAGTTGCAGCTCAGTTTCTGAGTATGTAATTGTCTAACCACAGACAATGGTGAATGCATATACTGTCTGTTAATGAAGAAATGTTTATTCCAATTGAGTTGCAAAATGTTGTGGAGGTGCAAAAACGTTCCCCCCCCCCCGACACGGCCAATATTGAAAATGCTTGTGAAAGAGTTTTGAAGACTGTGTCAAAATTCCCTGAAAAATATCACCATGTAATTGAAACTGATCTGGCTTTGTACGTTTTGGAGACGTTTCACATAACCTGAGGTTTAGCAAAATAGAATGGGAAACGGATAATGGGGGAATTTACAAATCCAGGCAGAAGAAGAAGGTCCCTTGAGATTGTGGACAGTTGCTGTTGGTAAGAGTTATAGAATACTAGACTGTAGTTGTTCATAGAGCAATACTTTGGCTTTGCTTTTTAAAACACAGCATTGTTTTAATGAAAGCCCATTTCAAAACATTGCTAGCTGTGCTTCAACAGCTATCCTCCCTCCCTACATTTCCTTTGATAGAGTGACAGCAAGCAGCTATTCAGTATGAGACAGGTTATTTCCTGTTCTTCACTTGACTTCCCTATAATATAATTGCTTCATTTTAGTAAGGAATAATTGTGGCTTTATCTTAATTTGCCTGTCAGAATGCCTGTAAAGTATAATACTTGACTGTTAATGATCAATATGTAAACTTACATATCTGCATAGTACATGCTTCAATGAAGCATTGTGATGCTGTATATATATTCATATATACTGAGGAAAGTTTTTAATTTAAAATGACTTCCATCCTAACAAAAAATAATAATCAGTGTTTGAGCCAATGTGTAATTACCTAATTTGTCTGCACACACAAAAGATTTGATCCAACTTTATTTAAAACATTTGGAGCGAGGTTAGCTCATGACCAGGATGGGGTGTGTGTGTGTCACTTCCCACTGAAATATTGGGGTGAGGAGTCCCCTGTTCCAGTCCCTGAGCCATCGCACTTCAAGCCAATGTATTCAAAGTGCTCCTGTTGTGAAAGAGTTGTTGTGATTTGAAGTCCCCAAGAGAAAGGGTTGCTGCAAGGTTATATAATCAGCTCTGATTGGTTTGTTGTCCAGGAAACTTGATTTTGCTTTTCATATGTCATTCCTGATGGGCTTTGCCTTGACAAAAAGCAAACATTTATAGTGGTCTGGAAGGTTTGTGTATACATGCCAAATTGTTAGGAAACCTGCACCCAAATTTTCCACTGAGATCTTCATAATGAATAAGGACATCTCTACAATAACTGTGTGCTGCAGTCAGCCACAGAGCATTTTAAAATGCTTTAGCAATGCTGGATCCAAGGAAACGTTCTGCATTTGAATGTAAAACACCACCTTTTGCTTGTTTGTTTTTAAGAGGGCAATTAGTTTAAATAATAGTCCGGGAGTATTTCCAGAATATGTTTTTCCTGTTTGTTTGTTCTTCTCTTTTCTCTAGCGAATTATACAGTGTGTGACTTTGAGTTTGACCTTTGTGAATGGAAGACACTAAACCCAAAAAATGTGCAGTGGAAAACAATGAAAGGACAACCTTACAATAATTCTGGACTTCCCATTAGAGATCACACAACTGACACAGAAGAGGGTAAGTTGTGCTAGAGAATTTTTCAATGACTTTTCAATTTTTCCCCCAAACTTTTTCTTACTCAGGCTTGAAGTCCAAGCTTCTGGCTTTTGGAGAACTCTATAACCAAATATCCAGAGAAATATAGGCTTCCTCCTGTTGAGTAAATTCTAGAGGATTGTGGCTGATCCCAGTTTGTCAAATGGAGTGCTGGTTTTCTTGGCATCTATTGTGTGTAGGCATCCTTCAGTCTCAAGAGACTATGGTAATGTGCTTTGTATGGAGGACGTGGAACAGCATCTAGCATGGCTGAGAGGGCCAATTTGAGAGTGACAATCCCTTCCACACTGAAGACAAATACAATCTGTCCCCTGTCCAGCTCCCTAATTTTGCTTCGACTCTGTATGTGGAGCTGGAGTGTCCTCTCCAGAGCACAAAGACTGGGTAAAATAATATGGAGGATAGGCTGTTATCCAGCAGCAAATCCCCCCTCTCCATGTTGCTGAAATAGTCCAATGGAAAGGCAAGAGCCAATACAACTGGTTCTAGAGATGTCGCAGGAGTTGCCAGAATGACACGAACTGCCTCCTGGACTCCGGCTCCGGATTTTGCCTTGAGGTTAACTCCTGAAGCCTTTTCCATGAGTGGATATAGCCACAAGGCAGTGGAGGTTTGACATCGGAGTTTTCCTTCTCCTATGTGGGCTGCCTTCCAAGGCTACCCAGCTTGGCATCTATATGTACACACATATTAGTATAGACTGAATAAAGGGGATATTATGATCATATGAGGCCGGAAAACCCAGTTATGCAAGAAATAAGCATGTGTCCCCCATCTCCTGCCTTTTCCATCCATTGCAGTGGAACATGCCAGTGTCTTGAATTGCTGGGCCTTATAGCCCTACTTTGTAACAACATTTTCCCTTCTACTTTTTCTGTCTGCATCTACACATATATCTACTATATTTGATCTGTGTTTGAGCAAACTGAGTAGTATTGCATCCTTCTGGCAAAGAGAATTCTGAGTATATTCTCATTATTCAGTTTTTTATTCCTCGACTTACAAATGGCTTTAGTTACAAACATTTTGACTTACAAACCACTCTAATAGAAGAATATTGACTCAAATTGCAAACTTAGATTTGAGGTACAAACCGGGAAAAAAACCGTGTGGGAGGTGGGGAAAGTGCGAAATTCGAACTTTCAATTAACCGTTGGTCATTCCGGCTCCGGATTTTGCCTTGAGGTTAACTCCTGAAGCCTTTTCCATGAGTGGATATAGCCACAAGGCAGTGGAGGTTTGACATCGGAGTTTTCCTTCTCCTATGTGGGCTGCCTTCCAAGGCTACCCAGCTTGGCATCTATATGTACACACATATTAGTATAGACTGAATAAAGGGGATATTATGATCACATGAGGCCAGAAAACCCAGTTATGCAAGAAATAAGTATGTGTCCCCCATCTCCTGCCTTTTCCATCCATTGCAGTGGAACATGCCAGTGTCTTGAATTGCTGGGCCTTATAGCCCTACTTTGTAACAACATTTTCCCTTCTACTTTTTCTGTCTGCATCTACACATATATCTACTACATTTGATCTGTGTTTGGGCAAACTGAGTAGTACTGCATCCTTCTGGCAAAGAGAATTCTGAGTATATTCTCATTATTCAGTTTTTTATTCCTCGACTTACAAATGTAAAATAATATGGAGGATAGGCTGTTATCCAGCAGCAAATCCCCCCTCTCCATGTTGCTGAAATAGTCCAATGGAAAGGCAAGAGCCAATACAACTGGTTCTAGAGATGTCGCAGGAGTTGCCAGAATGACACGAACTGCCTCCTGGACTCCGGCTCCGGATTTTGCCTTGAGGTTAACTCCTGAAGCCTTTTCCATGAGTGGATATAGCCACAAGGCAGTGGAGGTTTGACATCGGAGTTTTCCTTCTCCTATGTGGGCTGCCTTCCAAGGCTACCCAGCTTGGCATCTATATGTACACACATATTAGTATAGACTGAATAAAGGGGATATTATGATCATATGAGGCCGGAAAACCCAGTTATGCAAGAAATAAGTATGTGTCCCCCATCTCCTGCCTTTTCCATCCATTGCAGTGGAACATGCCAGTGTCTTGAATTGCTGGGCCTTATAGCCCTACTTTGTAACAACATTTTCCCTTCTACTTTTTCTGTCTGCATCTACACATATATCTACTACATTTGATCTGTGTTTGGGCAAACTGAGTAGTACTGCATCCTTCTGGCAAAGAGAATTCTGAGTATATTCTCATTATTCAGTTTTTTAGAGACAAATGTGAGTGAGTGGGCTTGTGATCCAGTTGTTTCAGGCTAGATACCAAATTCCACAAATCTGAAAACTGACCAGAACCTAGTGAAAGCATACTTCTTATATGAAACAACTACATGTGTACCTTTCAAACTGATGTACAGGTCAGAACTTGGCTATCTGATTTTGCACATCTCTGACATGTTGTGACATACTGTAGCACTTGACAATTTAAACATTACAAGATTTACAGTTTTCAGAGGAGTAAATGTGTTAATTGGTCTCGATAAAAGCAAAAGTAGTGTGGCATTTTTAAGACCGAAAACGTTGAATAGGTATCTGGTGGAAGAAGTGGAATATTTAAAGATGTGCTTTTGAAAGTGAATTACAAATTGATACAGAAATTGAATGGAATGGGCCTTTGTACATGCCCATTCAGCACAATGATGTGCAAGTAATCACCTCAGGAAATAAGACAGATTCACCCATACCTATTGGAATGAATGTAATCATTCAAGAGCTTGTGATATAATTGGGGTTTAGGTGCATGCGGTGGTGGCTCAGGTACAACTCCAACCTCCTCTCATATTGTCCTGTGTATCTAACATTAGCGGGCAGCTTGGCCATTTTTAGTTTCATAAAACCTAGGACGAAACAACACTGGAATGTAAAATGCTCTGCTTTCAAGACTCTTGAAGATGTTATCACATCCTAGCTAGAACATCTGGGTTGGTTCAGATCCCAAACCTGATAATTTGTCAGTCTTCTGATTAAATCTTTAATTATATTTTCTTCTTTACCAGCAAGAGCAAGGTTGCTAAGCCTATGAGACTCTTGCGAGAGAAATAAATGCATATTATAACTATGGCTCCTGTGTTTTCTGAACTGCAGGCATGCAACAAAACTCTTAGTCTGTGCTAGAAGATTGCTAGCTGAAGGCAAAAAACATACATAGTGAGCCCCTCATAGTGGCTGAGAGCAGATGCACATATGAGTTTGTGCAATCATTTCTCACCCAAGAATATTAGGATATGTATGAGACTCACATACACCGTATCTGTACTTCACCCTTCATGCAAAAGTCATGCATCAGTCCATCCCATGAGGCATGGCTTGAATTCTAAGAACCTAGTTCCACAACCCAGTGATCCAACGCATTGAGCTATACCAGGTCATTGAGCTACACCAACTGACTGAGTGTACATTACATTAATTCAGAGCATGTTCAGAATACTAAATAAAACAATGTTGGTGTCACAACACATTCATACAAAAAGAGGTCTATCCCTCTTTTTGTATGTAGAGTGCTGTCTCTCTAAGAACCAGCCCAGTGGTAACAAGAGGATTTTGGAAAAAGGAAGAACAATCTTCAGTGTTAATGTCTCAGCAATCAAAGAGAAGACTGTTTGAGAAATGATTATGAATGCAGAAGACAAGAGATGTTACTCCACCATGAATTAGAATGCAATGTCCCTTTAGATATTTTAACATCCTAAAAGCCAATTTAGACAAGATATTGAGGTCCATAATACATTGTCCATGAATTTTTCAAAAATATACACCCAGCCATGCAGATATGGGATGGGAGAGAAATAATTTCATCAGAACAGTGGTATTATAAGATAAAGGATTTACTAGTTCAACAGTTAGTCCCCAGAACTAGATGGAAATTTCTGCCACTTCCTTCAGCTCCCAATCTTTAGATTTTTGGCAGTAACTTGTCTACTGGCTAATTTCTGGTGTTTGTATCTGCCCTTAAAAGCCTTGGGATCACATGTTCCTCATTCTTTTCTCCCCTTGGACAACTACCTGGAAACCTTGAGTTTCAAACTATGAGTTTGCATAATTTGTGAACCCTGAAGTATGGTTCCTGTCAACTTTAACTTATTATAACAAATAAATTACATTTAATAAATCATAGTACGAGGTTGGCTTGTCTACATAAACCATAGTTAAGACTAGTGACAGCACAGCATATAATTTGTGGAATTAGAATCAGATGTACAGCTTCCAAAAACCTCCACATGGCTACACCAGAGAATAAGGGAGGTAACAGTGTGCACCAAGCTCATTTACATCCAATGAGAAATATGATAAAATACAGGGGTTTTTTTCTGAATAAGATCCATTATGAGGCCGTTACGTCTGAATGTATTCATCTGGAAATTATTACATGTATCAACAGAGTGGGGAAGAATGCCTACTGTTGAATATTTTTTAAAAAAGTGCACCCAGGAAGAGCATTAAAAGAATACTCATATCACTTCTCTTGCAAATCCCTAATATTCCTGCATTTTAAAATTTCAGGTAGCTTCATTTATGTGAGTGGCTCACCTGAGGCAAATGCTAAGCCTGTCATTTCTTATCTCAGCAGTCCTATCTTCACAAAACTGTCCAGTGATTATGATAGTTGTCTGTCTGTCTGGCCAGTAGAGGAATGTTGGGCAACCTGCAGTCCTCCAGATCTTATAGGACTTCAAGTCCCATCAGTCACATCCAGGGCAAGCAATTGTCAGAGAACGTGGGAGCTGGTCCAACAAAATATTGAGGGTCATGTGCCTAGTTTTAGCAGAATCTATTAGTGAGCCACCTCTAAAGTAGTTAAGATCACAGTCTGTCTGTCTGGCCAGTAGAGGAATGTTGGGCAACCTGCAGTCCTCCAGATCTTATAGGACTTCAAGTCCCATCAGTCACATCCAGGGCAAGCAATTGTCAGAGAACGTGGGAGCTGGTCCAACAAAATATTGAGGGTCATGTGCCTAGTTTTAGCAGAATCTATTAGTGAGCCACCTCTAAAGTAGTTAAGATCACAAGGAGGTGAATTTAAATGAGAAACAGCAATGGGCTGTCTGAATGGACCCAGCTGTAGGCCATGTATTGGAATAAAACACTGGAGGGTGAGGGAAAACACTAGTTATTGTTACTTGTGAGGTAGCCTAAGGCTTTGTGTGATCCAATATCATTCTTCAGTTATTCTTCTGTGATTCTGATGTTTAATATACAGTATGATCTTGATGTTCGATAATACCATGTTGTCTATAGTACATTCTGTCAATTATATATTTTATGTGTGTCAATTGTTGAAACTTCTGGTATGCAAATTCATTATTCTATTTTAGTTTGTCCTGATAAGGAAGATGCTCCAGTAGTTTCTATGTTGCAATCTGCCAGAAGAACTGGTGCACTTAAACTGAGTAATAAAGATTTGATTGTGCCTATTTTACCTAGATTGAGATCTGCAACTCCCCCCAACAAAGACCACTGTGGCAGGGCTGGACCAGTGATACATGCAAGTACTGGTACACAGGAATCGTGTACAACCATGTACAATCTGCAGCAGTGGTTGCAAATTTGGTGGTTGCAAGATCAGCAGATCTTGTTAGGCAGAATATGAAATGAAAATTCTCCTTTAAAAAAAGTTTCAAGTGGGAGCCATCCTCCTTCAAGTTATGGCCTGATCTCAGTGGGGAACATTCTCTGGCCCATTATTTCCTTTCTCTTTCAGCCAACCGGCCCATCCACAAGCAAGATCAAACATATCTTGGTGGAGAAGAGGGAACACTTGACAGGGACAGTTTAGTATCACCAGAGAGAGGGCTTGAAAGAGTTCTTTATCTCTGAAAATGATGCATCAAGTTGGGGCATTTCAGTAACAGAGTTTAAGAATTTTTCCAGCCCCTTGCTCACACAGTTTGAGCAAAAATAAGTGTATTCACAATCAGTGATTTCACAATCCTAGCTAAGTCCATCTAAAACACATTAAAAATATTATGAACAAATCTAAATCAAGGATATTTTGTGAAACATTATATAATATGTGTTGTCAGTACTTCTGGGCACATCTCATTTCCATAAGTATTTTACTTCTTTGCCTAAAAAGGGAGGAGTAGAAGGAAGGTGCCTTGCATTCAGTCCATCCTCTTGGGCAATTGGCAGAATTTTAGTGTATTGGGCATTAATCCTTCAAAAGTGCAATTGGCTTTTAGAAACAAGTGGGAGTATATTTGCAGACCAGTAACCAGAACATTGGATTATGACAAAAATGTGCCTCTTCAAATAATAATAATAATAAAATCCTGCACTCATAGCGGGCTGATGATCATTCTGTGATATATAAGTCTATCAGCAATGCTGAAGTCATTTAAATCCCCCCAACTCAACAGGTGAGATTTTGGTACCAACTCTCTCAGGATTCCCAGTTGAGTGTCTTCATTAGAACCTTTCCTAATGGCAGTCTGCAGAGTGTCAAGAGCCAACCTTTCAAGAGCACAACACAATGGACAAAGGCAGACATTCTTATACAAAACACCACTGGGGAGATTGCAGGACCATTTCAGGTGAGCAAATACATGTGGTTGGATATGTGCTCCTTAAAGTACATTTGTATGTTCTTTCATAGATGTCATCTCGCTGGCTTCCTGGAAGGCATGAGCACAGAGAAAAATTGCTTGTCGCCTCCTATACATTTGCAATGTATTGTTCTCATAGTAACCTATCTTATCAAAGTTACATCATGCCAGTCTGGTTAAGAGAAGTTTGTGCCACTTATTGGCTAAAATGGAGAAGCATAGGCCCATGGAATCGGTAGGCATTTGGTGAGTCAACTTCTCTATAGGTTCCATTGGTTCAATAGGTCTATTCTAGTTGTTACTTACTACTGGATTTCAGCCATCATATCACTTCTTCCCTTTCCTGGAGGGGTGGTGGTGGCAGTTACTGTCTGCTTTTCTTCCCTGCCAGTTTCAACACTGAAGGCTAGGGTATAAGAGCTCTTTGGAGTATCCAGGTCAAGCCCTCAACCATAGGAAGCAGAGAACACAGCTATTTGTACATCAAAAGCCTCAATAGGAACCACACCCAACTGGACTCAAGTGTGGAGAAGACTCAACACTCAACAGTGTCTGAAGGAGTCTGCATGTTCCCTTTCATATCATGCTGCATCCTCACCAGCTGCCTATGAAATATACATGCTAAGGCATCAGTAGCCTTCTTTTCCCCCTCAAGACAAAGGATGCTCATTGGTTTCTAGCTGATCTAAAATGGCTAATTAGCACAGCCTTACTGTTTGACAGAGTGTGGTTAACTCAACCAGAAGATGTTGTTGACGAAGAACAGTGTCAAGATGGGGCAGAAGGCAGGTCTTTGTGTTGTACATCCCGCTTTGTGCCTCCAAGCTAGACTTGCTGACCTCAGGTGCTGTTGTAGCTCCCCCCCCCCATGGAGTCAGCAGTGTTGCAGTATGATTCAACTGTCAAAGTGAGCCATTGTTATATATGGAACAGAAGTGGAGTGCTATCTTTTACATAATCTTGGGCAGCAAAAGGTATAATGCCAGCCCTGGCATCATGATAATTTCTAGCAGAGAAGGGCTTTCTGTTTTTAAACATTGCCTTTTAGTCCTATTCCACCTCAGTGTTGCCATTAATCAGAGTTGTTTTGCTCTCTCATGACCTCAGCGCCTTGATTGGTTTAGTTGGCAGCCCTTATGTGTTCATACAGAAAGATTACAGAGGATATTAATTTTCCTGTCCAAATGCCCTGTTGGTTTCGTTGGGAAAGACGGCAAAAAAGGAATTGATTAAGTAAACTAAACTGAGTTGGGGAAGGGAAAAAAGCAAACCACTTCACTCTTTGTCTGGGTATCGTGTCTCTGTCAAGCAGTAGGAAGGTAAGTAGCATATAAGTCCAGCAAGTTGATCCTGCCAACTCTCTCACGTGGGTGTTAGAGCACTACTGTTTGAAACTGATGTTAGAGAATACAATCTAGGCTTATATTTCTCTTCTTCACTAACTTGCCTTCCTATATGGGTCACTCTAACTTTGCTGCTTCTGCTGGTTGACGTTACTAATTTTTTTTTGTTTAATATTGTCTTTTAATGATGTCATCTGCCTTTTAATACTTATTGGTTTTAGCTTTCAATATTGTCTTTTAATTATGTAAGCCACCTTAGATCCTTTTTAAGGAGAAAGGTGGACAGAGGAGGGGCAGGATCTGTTCTCGATCATCCCAGCATGCAGGACGCACAACAATGGGCTCAAGTTACAGGAGCCAGATTTTGATTGAAAAGAGCAGTACGATAGCGGAATCAATTACCTCAAGAGGAGGTGACTGCTCCAACACTGGAGGCATTCAAAAGAAACTTAGACAACCACTTGGCAGATATCTTTTGATTTGTATTCCTGCATCGAACAGGGGGGGTTGGACTTGATGGCCTTGTAGGCCCCTTCCAACTTCACTTTTCTATGACCCTATAATTCTATGAAAGATATTTTAAATAAATAAATAATTTCCTGTTGTTGTTTTTTATCCAGATGCGTAACTTAGGGAGCCTCTAGAGGCCAGTGTGATGCAGGCCCATTTCTTTGGGAATGGATACATGAGTGGTCCCACAAGTTAGGTATCTGGCAGGGGAATTGGACATCAGGAATTCAGCTCTCTGCTATGTCTTCCAAGAGAAAAGCCAGCCTGTGTAGCTTTGGAGAAGCTGCATAGTTCCAGCATGCTGGAAAACACTTCTTTGTATTCTGTGCCTAGAAGACCCTGGGTCACTTGAGTTAGAACCAATTTGATGACATACAGTGGTGCCTCGCATAGTGAGGTTAATCCGTTCCAGATTAACACTCGCTATGGGAAACATCGCTCAACGGAACGAAAAAACCCATTGAAATGCATTAAACTTGGTTTAATGCGTTCCAATGGGCCCTAAACTTACCGTTGAGCGAAGCTTCTCCATAGGGGTGGCCATTTTCGCGCCCTCGGTAAGCGAGGGCACAGCGGGAAAAGTTGTGGTGGCCATTTTGGAACTGCCAATCAGCTGTTCTCCCCCGCTTCGTTGTGTGAAAATCGCTAAGCGAACCGCTTAGCGATCATCGCACAGCGAAAAAACGCCATAGGGGCCATCGCTGAGCGAACGCTCCAGCGATGGCCCGGACCCCCTCGCTATGTGAATTCATCGCTCAACGAAGTGATCGCTAAGCGAGGCACCACTGTATAATTATTAATATTAGTTTCAGTAGTATTTTTGGGGGGGTAGTGGATGTTTGTACTTAAGAAAACAAATTCATTTTGTGCTTGTCATCGTGCACCTTTCAATGATATCGCCCTTTGTGCCTGGATATGCATCTCTTAACTTCAAATTTTTAAAATTCAGTGAAACTTATTAGAGCAGCCATTCTCAACAGGGCCCATATGCCCCCCTGGCACATTTGAAAGAGACCACAGACTGGGAACAATTCCTCACACACCATCTTAAAAAGTTGTTATGGAACTTATATAATCCTTATTTGACCTATATTTCTTTCATATTGTGCTTATGATCATGGCCAAAAAAGAGAGTTGAGAATGACAGTATTAGAAAACGCGTTTAAGGCACTAGCATGAATGATTCCATCAGTATGAATGTTTTCAATGTTGGCCATTTTTATAATATGTGAATTTATAACAAGTGTGATGACTATTCCTGAGATCTCAGTCAAAAATAAAACGAAGGAAGGAGAGAGACTAGACCAGACAAGAAAAGGGAGAAAAAAAGATATAGGGTTTGAGGAAGTGGTACATTTTGCTAGACAGCAATATATTCCTTTAAAAAATAAAAAGAAAGCAGTTGTATTAATAGCATTTAACCAATGAGATTTTAATGAGTTTAACAATGAGCACATATGTGTATTATTTGAAGTTTAATGTGTTTTTTTAAACTGGCATCGCAGATAATACTACAAGCCATGATTCAAACAGAACAAGCTGCCATTGCTGTGGATGACATCAGTATTACAACAGCATGTCAGACTAATTATACATCATTTTCAAGTACCTATAAAGAAGGTAACATCAAAACACTGTTTTTTAAAATTAGGGTTGTTGAGCTGTTATATTTTTCTCTGTTCATCTTTGTTCTATAAAAGTATATTATTTGGACGTAGGCCAGAATCCTATTGCGTACATATGCTGGCTAAGTCAAATGGTGTAAATCACAATGGAAAATTGTTGCTACTTAAGAAGTTGAGACCTGTGTTTCTCTTTGTGTGCCAAGTTATGGAACATGTGGATGGCAAGAAATATAAGCATCTTCTTAATTAGTAACAATTAACTCCTCCAATATTTGCCATTACACTCTCTAGCATACATAATAGGATTTTAGCTATCCTATGTTTAGTTACAGCTATCTAGCTTAGCGATGTCCATTCAGTCTGGCAGTGGCTCTTTGAGATCTCACACAGAGGTCCTTCCTATCTCTTTCTATCTGATTTTAATGATAGTGTTAATTATTGAAACTGGGACCTAAATACTGCAATGTCTGTGCTCCCTACTAAGTAACAGATACACAGTGGATTTTTCCTCTCTTGGAAACTATGGTGCTCCTCATTTGGTGCTTAGCTTTATCTACTGAATTTGAAAGAAACAACATCTTGGATCTCTTTTTTTTGAAGCAGATACAAAAATGGACATATCTGATGCTTCATCTCTGTATTGTCCCCCGGGATTCCTACCATGCCGGGATGGAGATTGTGTTTCATCTGACAAGTTCTGCGATTTCGCCCCTGATTGCCCAGATGGGAGTGATGAAGTCATGTGCCGTAAGTGAAAACACACTGATTTGTGTTAAGGATCTCGAAACAGTTGTGATAGAGACTACTGTAGTCTTATGGCTTGGTTTCTGTTATTTCCTTAGAAGCCTCAGTTAATTAAAACAAATTGCTCAGAAAGTGAAATATTATCACTCAGGCTGTCTACTGATTCACTGTTAGGTGAGCAGATTTACTGTTAGCTAAAATATGCAAGCTGAGAGAGAAACTCTGCATTTCAGCGGCTGAATGTGACTTTGAAAAGGACAACTGCGGCTGGTTAGAAACAGCTAGTGGTGATGAATTTGACTGGATAAGGGCTTCCAGAAGTATTCTACCTCCTGCTTTCCAGCAACAAGCTCCACCACATGATCACACTTATAACCTCTCTTCAGGTAAGACCTTAAAGCAGGGCAGTCCAAGGTTTTCTGTTCTCCTGTACCCATTCTGCCAGACATCCGTGGATCGTCATGATGAGATTTTGTTTAACTGATCTATGAGGCAGTGGCAGTAGTAGGCGTCACTTGGTTGTGTTCTAAAAGCAGGACCACCTCCATTTCCATCCTCTGGGGCAGCTGTGGGGAGGCTGCAGACCTAAGACAGCCCACTGGAGAACCCCGTCTTTTTCTGCCACTTTTACCTCAGTTAACTGGTCAGAGATAATTGGTTTTCCTTCCTCACTCTTTTTAAAAAAGTTGTTTGACACCTGTGGAGAGAAGATTTCAATGTTGTTTGACCCTCTCCTTGTTGCTGTTGGTTTTCTTGGTTTTTTTACTCAGTTGATTTTTTAAAAATGCTTAAGTGCAACATGAGATGCATTTTGAGAAGGAAGCAACACTGTTGTGGAGGGAGGGAGCTTTCCACAGTGGTGCAGCCTCCCCTTGAAAAATCTCTCACTCCCACAGGGCAGCTAGGCGTCATTTGGCGCTGAGTGGGTATTTTTTTAAATGACTGACTGTAGTATCTCTGGACATGGAAGGCCACAGCTGGTGGGCAGGGGGAGCTTTGGGTCCTCCGAGTCCTTGCTCTTCTTGGACCTAAGGCCAAAAAGATTCCTCAGGTTGCTCTGGAGTGACACAGCATTGGAGGAAGAGTAATCTCCAAGAAGGAGATAAAATCATTATTTTAAAGGAGATCTGAAAGCATGGAGCAGCAGTGGGTTCTACTGATCTCCTGGTCCAAGGACTGTGTCGTCCGCATAGCGATGTCAGGCTGATCTCAATGAATAAAGTATATTAGACATGTACATAGGAGTGATTTTCTGCCTGTGTGCTTTTAATGGGATTAAGTTGCACTTATAGATACACTGAAGAAAAAAAATACTTTCTATTTTTCTCTCTTAATAGGTCATTTTATGTTCATTTTGAAAAACAGCAGCAGCATTACACAGATTGCACAGTTGCGGAGCCCCAGATTCAGACAGGCGGGATCAGATTGCTCAGTGACCTTCTGGTATGAACTAGCTTTAATTTTTTATGCTTACAGCAACACACGACTGCATTTAGCCTGCAAACCCGGACAGTGTTTGTCATAGTATGTGCTTTGCTGCCTCTACAATATCTTTGTTTGTTTGGCTTGTTGGGTTGTTTGTTGAGTGCTTTTTGGAAGTACAGTCTTCCTATCACAGAAGGAAAAAAAAAAGCTAAACTCTCCAGACAAATAGAACAAGGAAAAGGTTGCATGATATCCCAGGACAAATAGAACAAGGAAAAGGTTGCATGGTATCCAAGATTACACAAATACAAGAGTGGGTGATAACTTTTATTGGGTCACTAAAAATAAAAATAAATAAATGAAAATGTCAATCTTTTGTGGAGAAATCCCCACCTCTTCTGGCTTAGCACAGCCCCTGTGTGCAGAAAAATTGTAGACAGGAGTCCAAAAATTGATGGCACATGTCTATGAGAGTTGATGCGATTGAGGCTGCTGTCTCAAGCATCCTTGCAGGATGGCTTGCAAAGTTTATGCCCCTCTCTTAGGACCAAAAGGCTGCCAATTACTATGCAATTGCCCCTCCCTCCACATACACAATCACACCGCCGGCTTTGAAACTAGTTTCTTTTTGGCTTTGGGGGTGGGGAAAAAATAAAGACATAGCAGCCTCTGGCACAAGTTGTTGTTATTATGTGTTGTCGAGTCATCTCCAATGCATGGCGACCCTAGGAATGAGCACTCTCCGTAGCAGCCTCTGGCACAAGTTGTTGTTATTATGTGTTGTTGAGTAATCTCCAACGCATGGTGACCCTAGGAATGAGAACTCTCCAAAATGTCTTGTCTTCAGCCGCCCTGCTCAGCTCTTGTAGATTCAACTCTGTGGCTTCTTTTAGGGTTATAAATTGGTTTATCCGCCAGGTTGAAATAGCCAACTGTAAATGGTTTTTACCTGGTGTGGCACAAGTTGTTGTTATTATGTGTTGTTGAGTAATCTCCAACGCATGGTGACCCTAGGAATGAGAACTCTCCAAAATGTCTTGTCTTCAGCCGCCCTGCTCAGCTCTTGTAGATTCAACTCTGTGGCTTCTTTTAGGGTTATAAATTGGTTTATCCGCCAGGTTGAAATAGCCAACTGTAAATGGTTTTTACCTGGTGAGCATAGCAAGATGTTTTCTCAGTCTGTTGTCACCCTGGCAAGTCTGAAGAATCCACATGGTTGTCTGATCTCTGGACAAATGTATTTGGGAGATTGTGATATTGACTCTGAAGCATTTTTGGTGGCATAACTGCTCTTGGGAGTGAATGGCACTGCACTGACGTAACATAATACCAGGTCTTGTGACAGAGCTCTCATATAATCAATTATTCATTCTCCCCAAATCGTGTCATGTACTGCTATGCTAATTCTTAGACTCAGCTGATTTAAACGCATTCCATTAAAAATGTTTTTGCAGGGATTCTGTGTTTTGTTTTGTTTCGTGTTTTGCTTAATGTCACAGGAACAACAGAATTAGACTCATTTTGTGGAGAGGGTTGGCTCTCATCATCAGTCACTCTCCAGGCCCAGTCAACTAGGGATATTCATTCATTCATTCATTGCCTTTGTATCTCATCTTTCCTTCAGTGAGCTCAAAATTATTCGCATGAGTTTCTTTCTCCTCTACTTTATTCCCAGAACAGTTCTAGGAATAGGCATCCTTCAGTCTCAAGAGACTGTGGTAACATGCTCTGCATGGAGGACTTGGAACAGCATCTAGTATGGCTGAGAAGGCCAATTCGAGAGTGACAATCCCTTCCACACTGAGGACAAATACAATCTGTACCCCGTCTAGCTTCCTGATTTTTCTGCTTTCGTGACTGCCTCTTTGCCTCGGCCTGCTGGGCAAGGGTCTCTTCAAATTAGGAGAGGCTGTGATCCACTGCCTCCCTCCAGGCTGAATGCTCAAATGTCAGGGTTTCCCATCTGTTGAGATCCATTTCCAAGGCCTTCAGATCCCACTTGCAGATCTCCTTGTATTGCAGCTGTGGTCTCCCTCTGGGGCAATTTCCCTGCACTAATTCTCTATACACGAGATCCTTTGGAATCTGACCATCAGCCATTCTTACAACATGCCCAAGACAACGTAGACGTCACTGTTTCAGTAATGTATACATGCTAAACATTCTAGCTCGTTCTAGGACTACTCTGTTTGGAACTTTGTCCTGCCAGGTGATACCAAAAATGCATCGGAGGCAACGCATATGGAACGCATATGCAGCTTTCTCTCTTGCCATGCATGAAGGGTCCAGGACTCACTGCAGTACAGGAGTGTGCTCAGGACACAGGCTCTATAGACCTGGATCTTGGTATATGCTGTCAGTTCTGTCTCACAGAAATAGGGAGTAGTCTATTGGGGCCCAAGGTGATCCAATGAGTTTTCATGGCTTAGAAATAGACCTGCATCTTGGTATATGCTGTCAGTTGTGTCTCACAGAAATAGGTAGTAGTCTATTGGGGCCCAAGGTGATCAGAGAGGACTTAAATCTACCTTTCCCAAATCCCACTCCACTAAACCAACCACTATATCATATCTGCTTGTTTTGGTTTTTACTGGCTGTGCTGCAGACTTCCAACAGCCCTTGTAAAAGGAACTAAGAGCAGTATGATAGCAGGTTATTCACCAAGGACTCCTTGGAGATATGTAGTTCTCAGATCTCATGCACTTTAAATAACTACCATTTGTGGTGGTAGTGGTTGTTCTGTGCGATCAAGTCAGAACTGACTTATCACATCCCTACTAGAGTTTTCAAGTTATTTATGGACTGGTTTTACACACACACACACACACAGACACACACACACACACACACACACACACACACACACAAACCAGTAACTGAGCCATGTTCATAAATCTTTCATCTCTTGACTTCTTATTCTCTTTGCTCTTCTCTTTTAATTGGCTAGTATAAATATGTATATCTGCTTTTGTTTCTTTTGTTGTTCTCATTATGCTTAACCTTGTACAGTGGGCTTCTGATCCAAGCTAGCCACCTGAGTGAAAATGTGCCTCTTTTAAACCAAAATGCTTTTAAATATGAAGAATGTTTGGACAGAGAATGTTTACATGTTTCAAAATCAAATAAGACACTAAAACCAGTTTAAGAGGAAAATTTCTCCAGATCTCATGGACTTTAAATAACTCCAGTTTGTTATTTCATTTCAACTATAGTTCTATTTAGTGTAACAAAATTATAAAGATACTGATGTGGTTTTTGTATCTAAGTGCATTTATATAGCACTAGAACAATGAAAGGAACCAATGGGCTAGTTAGCATTGCTATCCTGTACATGCTTCCCAGAAGTCCCTTTGAATTCATTGGGGACTTATTCCTAGGTAAGTGAGTATAGAATTGCAGTTTTACTGTGAAGCATGGTTTTCTATCCATTATCTCCTTCTCTTCTGATTAAATTACGCAGTCCACAGAGGTGTTGGATGCTGGACTGATTTTGGGGCATTCAGCCATCGTATCCATCTTAGTGAAATCATATCACATATATCAACTGTGCTGAGTATGAATTAACCTGACTCTTCCAAGAGCAATGACTCTACTGGATGAGCTCGACCAAGAGCATTTTGTGGAGTCTTGAGGAACAAATTTGCCTCCAAATGTCAGCTGATCATGGGCAGCATCAACATGAGTACCAACCTAAGGTCAAAGGCAAGGCATGCTGGCTGAATTGCAGGATTGATGGTAACATTAGTAGCTGTAGCAGTGAGATCTGGAAGGCAATGGAAAACCACCAAATAACATTTTCAAAGTCAGCCCCTGGATTTCATAACTGGGAATCTTAATGCTAAGATAAACATGGTTTAGGTGTTGTGCACACATATGTTCTCTTGCCTTTCCAATGTGATCTGAATCCCAACCAATTAGTAGGGCTTGTCGCCGAAGCTACCAACATGAATTTGACCCAACTCCTGGAGGCAGTGGAAGACAGGAGGGCCTGGCTTCTTCCATGGGGTCACGAAGAGTCGGACACAACTAAATGACTAAACAACAACAAATAACTCAGCATATACTGAATACTTGAACAAATGCTTTGCATGGATATCTTATACTATGGGCTTAAATACTATCTTTAGTCAAACAAAACTAAACAACAACAAATAACTCAGCATATATACTTGAACAGATGCTTTGCACGGATATCTTATACTATGGGCTTAAATGCTATCCTTAGTCAAACGAGCTTGAACATGTGGAGAGCAGGACTTAGAACAATCACAATATGAAACTGTGTTAGAAAACAGTTTTTTCCTTTCTTGCTGGACTCCTATAGGACAGTTACATATGTCAATTGGTATTGTTTCTGACTATTGTAATCCCCAAGATTTATCTCCCCCGCCCCCAGGTATTACAACTATGGGATGTCAGTTGGCGCAGCAGAAATGCAATTGCTTGTTGATGGACTGCAAGACCCTACAGTGCTCTGGAGGATATATTACAATCAAGGAGACCAGTGGCTAAAGGCTTCTATTCAGCTTGGTCGCCTCCCACAGCCCTTTCAATTATCTCTAAATAAAGTCAGCCTTGGCTTTTATGATGGTGTCTCAGCAATTGATGATATAACGTTTGAGGGCTGTGCTTTGCCATCTCCAGCACTAAACTGTGAAGGCCCTGATCATTTCTGGTGCCAGGACTCAAAGGCCTGCATTGATAGTTTGTTACTGTGTGATCTAGTTGATGACTGTGGAGACAGATCTGATGAAAATGAGTGTGGTAAGATCTTGAAACACTTCCCTTTGCACTGCATTTATCTTTGTTCCTTAGCCTGTGCTACTCATTTCAACAGACTGAACAGAAAGAGAGTGTAAAGGATTGCTGCTTAAGCAAAGTGAAGTCTGTGCCAACTGTATCTACATAGACTCTTGTTCCAGGGATAGTCCTTCCATTTTCTAAGTACTTGTTTTGTGTTATGCCTTCATTTTTTGTTCCTATATCCAAATACTAAAACACTGCCTTGGACAAAATAGCTTACCACATGAGAATATGAATAAAATCAGTTAAAATGTCTGCACAAGTGTAAGAAAACGTACGTAGGTTATATTAATACTGTAGTACCGTACTCTAATTAGACTAAATGCTCTAGGGCATGTCTATACTATACCTTTCAGAGCAGGCTGACGCAGACTAAATAGGGTTGCTTGGGGCTGGGTGTGGGTGCTGTTGGTGTGATCTTTGCATCCAAATGGCACATTGGCGTTAAAGCAACCCTATCTGGTCCAGCTCCTTCCAATATCGTGAAGTCACTTAATAAGTGAGGATATCACCAAATTGAACAGTTCCTCTGCTCCTTGGTAGAGGGACTGGGGGAGTGATTTTTTTTCTTTTTAAAAGATTCTGTTAAACTATTGCTGAGGTGCTGCATCACTTCGTCTATTAGAGTCTCTCCCTTTTTTAAAAAAATCATATTTATCTATTTATTTATTTATTTGATTTGTATCCCGCCCATCCGGTCTATAGTACCACATCCCCTGCCCCTCTGCGAAGCAGAGAACGTATTGTTCCATATCCCGCCCATCTGGTCTATACGACCACATCCCCTGCCCCTCTGCAAAGCAGAGAACATGTTGTTCCGTTTGCTCACGTCTTGAAGTGGCTCATTTATTAAGGCACTTCATGATATCAAAATTCAAAACACAAGGGGCCTTGAAAGCCAGGAAAGCTTCTGTTTGGTCTGTTTCCAGTGATCACACAAGCTAGAAATGGACCAAACCAGAATGATCCTATCCCTAATAAAAAAAAATAGAAGCCCCTGACAGGGGTTCAAAGAGGTGCGGTTAGGATTGCTCTGGAAATGGTTTGGTTTGCTCCCTCAATTATGTCATGTGATCAAACCAGAGTGTGCTCTGGAAATGGTTTGGTTTGCTCCCTCAATTATGTCATGTGATCACCAGGAAAAAAGAGCAAACCAGAGTATCCTCACAATGGACCAAACAGCAGGACAAATGTCCATTGATGGAGCCCTTCGTAAGAAGTGAACGATTTTTCTCCAGTGAAATTTTGCTGTTTAACAAATAGCAAATTATTTCTTTGTTTATTTATTTATTTAAAATATTTATTTAAAATATCTCTGTGTCCCCTTTCCCCCCAAAGGACCCAAACAAGTTAAGTTTTGTTTGTGGTTGGTCACAGGAGAATTAGCTTTCTTTGTATGTTGTGTGTGGAAATATAGAAGCCTTGAATAATGTACCTCCTGAAGAATCCTGTTTTGTTGTTGCTAACTGCAAAGCTGTTAGATTGTTCAGGTCATCAATACAGAAAATATACTTGCTCTGTTCAAGTAAGACTGAATACATTTTTGAGAACAACCTTACCAGGTTTGTTGCTTCATTCAGAGGTGGTGAATTTTGTCGTCGAATCTGGAAGGGTTTTTTTTTGGGGGGGTGTGAATTTTAACTATTCACAGATTTGCAAACAACACCCCCACACTATTTTATGTTTTATTGTTGTGGGTAGAAGGAAATTCATTCTCTACAACCAGCAGAGAAGGTTGTAGGGAATATATTTCTCCTCCTTTCTAGAATATAGCATTAGGGGCTGGGGGGGAGAAATGGCAATTGTTAAAGGGGGGAAAAAGGTAGTGTGCACCACTAAGATTATTTTTAAAGTAATAAATTTGCTGTTGCTGGTTTTAGCGCCTGAACTGCAGTGCAGTTTTGAGCTTGGACTCTGCAACTGGGAGCAAGACATGGATGATGACTTCAACTGGACCCAGAACCAAGGACTGACATCCACTCCTAACACGGGACCAATGAAAGATCATACTCTGGGCACAAGCAAAGGGCACTATCTGTACATAGAGTCTTCCGAGCCACAGATGTTCCAAAACAAAGCAGCGCTGCTAAGCCCGGTCTTTGATGCCACCTCTGCATATGGCAACAAAAGCTGCCTTTTTCGCTTCCATTATCATATGTTTGGAAAGCACATTTACAGGTTGGCAGTTTCCCAGAGAACTGTGAGCAATACAAGAGGACATCTGCTATGGCACGCATTTGGCAATCAAGGCAACAGATGGATTAAGAAAGTGCTCTACATTACTAGTTCAGAGCCATTTCAGGTATGGCTATTTCAGTCTTTCATTTGCTTGCTTGGAACGAAATGAAGCAGTAAGAGAATATAAGCTTTTTCCTTTCTATTCTCTCTTTTCTAAAAGACAGTGGGAGTTTATTTCATCACATTTCCTTTCAACCCCTTCTCTTTAGAACGATTCAGGTGCACCCTTTGTTGATGATCTCAACAAAATATTTTCTGTTTAGATTAAGGAATCTGCATGTTAAATATTGCTTGATTCTCCAAGCGACCGTAACCAAGCATAATCCTCAGCATTTTGAGTAGTATCATGAACAACACAAACCATAATGCTGAGATGGCCACACACACCTTCATTCCTCCTCTGGTAGGGGAGGCACTTATAAGCTTCTGTCCCTCATTTGTGGACAAAGTGTGATTTGTTCACATCATAACTTGCAGGATGAGTCAAAGAACAAGCCATTATTTTGTGGCAGACCAGAACTGAAAGCTTCTGGCAGCAGGTGTGGAAGCGAGCCGGGCAGAGAAAACTGTTATATTTTGGTTAACACAGCATATCACAAAATATCCAGCTTTGTGAGCCAGTTCAGTTATAATGGCATTCACTGAGCGATTTGGGATGGGTGGCAAGGTTATCTATCTGTTCAAATCTGCTTTCTTGATTTTTCAAAGCCTAGGGCTCTTTTTAAAATGTGTACCAGATACAAAAAGTATTTGTACATCTGCCCATAAGATGCCATTTTGATGGGATACATATGTTACCAAAGTGGCAAGCAAGGTAGTAGGTTTTCACTGGCTTTTTTCCACATTGCACGTGAAACACATAAATACAAAGGTGGTTTAGCCGATGGTAATAATGTGATTCATTTTTATATAGTGGCTGCAGGATAGTTTCATGTCTTCTAAAAAAAGTTTAAAGAACTTAGGATAGTTTTCAAGCTAGCTGGCTAGTTAATTGTCAATAAAGGGCAACACAAAACGTTTGCGCAAGAGCTGTAATTTTTGTTGGCAAGTTCAGGAATGAAGTGCTTGGGCCATGAGAAGCCTGCAGATTGAATCAGCCTGCCCTCAATTGATTCTGCTGGCAACGGTCCACCGTAAATAGGATCAACATCCTTGTTTCTTTCACAGCTCAATGCTAAGTTCTGCCAGTTCTTTCCCTCCCACAATCACTAACCCTTTTTCCAACTGAAATTCAAATCTAAGAAAATCATCCCTGCCCACCACCCCAGTAATAATAATTATGCACCATCAAGTCACTTCTGAGTTATGGAAACCCTTTTCAGTGTCTTCTTGGTAGAAAATACTCATAAGTGGTTTACCACTCCCTTCTTCTGGGGATGCCCTGGGACTGTGCAGCTTGCCCAAGGTCACACAGGCTGGCTGTACTCGCAGGAGGCACAGTGGGATATCAGACTCCCAACGTCTGGCTCCACAGTCAGGGACCTGAACCACTGAGCTATCCAGTCATCTCCCCTACCCAGTAGTCTACGAGATAATGTATGTGATCGTGGTGTGCTGTGAAATATGAAATGGAGAGAAACTGGAAGGAGAGACCGGAAGGAACTAGAATAAAAGATCTGTTGAAATATATGGTTTATTTTACCAATATATAAAAGACTATGAAGCTTCTGTTTTACTCCCATAACATTCATACGGCCATATCTCTTGATGTGCTAGTAAAGTACATTGGTTCTCATAGGGCTCACTTCTCATTTCGGTCATGTTGAAAGCTTAAACTGCAGTAATGCAGCCAAAACTCTACTCATGACCTGGGTTCATTACCAAGAATCTGGCTTGAGGTTCACTCAGGCTCCCATCCTTCCGAGGTTGGTAAATTGAGTATCCAGCTCCGGGGGTTGGGGTGGGGCTCAATGTGTAGCCTGCATAATTAAATTATAAACTGCTCAGAGAGTGCTTTAAGCACTACGGGGCAGTATATAAGCATGCTTCTATACTGCCCCACTCTTTGCTTTTACTTATCACTCAACATTCATTTCCAATCTGCAACATTTTTGCCCACTGTACATATTTGTGGACTCATTTTAATTGCTGTACTAATGCTTCTTATCTTTTAATAGTACAAAATAGCTGCCACACATCTTTGTTAATAATGGTTACAAAATGCTCTTCATACACAGGTAAACTGCAGAAGCTGATTAACCCTGCTGTTTGAATTTCTCATTATCTGTATGTTCTAAACTAGATTTGCTGAAATACCAAAAATGTGAATGTGTATACAACTTCACATTTAAAAACCACAAACAACCACTGCAACAATGATTTGCATAACATTTGAGAGCGAGGAATTCTTTAGTACTTGAAGAAACCTATTTAAATATCCCTATATTCATTCATGGGCTGTCTAATTACCGAGCGTTCCAAGATCCTACAGACACAATTTGTTCTGTTGATCACATCAATAACCATAAAAGTCAAGAAAAAACTTGATGTTAGCACCAGCTTGCAGTATAAACTGACAGAAATACTACTATGTGCCAAAATAATTTGTTGGCAGTCTGCATTGCTTATGATTACGGCTCAGGTTCATATAATTAAATATGAAGTATTTGTTATATGCATCAAATTGTATCCGTAAGCACTGGTATCAGTGACAGCTCATCTCTAGAGCAGGTATGACCCTGAAATTTTGGGGTAGGTGTTTCCCTGTCCTGGTCCACAAAGTGTCCACAACTATGAGGGTTGAACAGAACACGTGGTCAGAAATCCAGAAAAGGGAATTTTATTTAGAAATATAAGAGCTGGAGGTACATCACCCATGAAGTCTTTGATTACTACATTTGTCCACACATTTTGCTACAGTAAAACTGCCCACAAAACGAGGAGATAATTACAAAAGATTGCTCACAGACATTCTTCCCAAAGGTGAAGGACACAGATTTTGTTCTGATAGCATGAGGACTTTAAAGAGACCTTGAGGAGAAAAAATGGTATAACTGAAGGCAAAAAGTCTCCAGCAGATGGAAATTCTTTATTGACGAGTCTCGTCAAGGTGAGACTGCCTGTATCAGTGAAAAGGGACAATGCAATATGTTTTCCCTAGATCTTATATTCAGCAGTAATTTGAACACATTTGGGAATTTGTGATGCCAACAATGGAGGCAATGGAACTAAGCACCTACCACTAACTAAAGTGTCCCAACCCGTGATGCTGAAGACCCCAAACCTAAAACCCTTAGCCTGGTTCAAGAACAATGGATCTTAAGCCCATTAAGAACTCCACCAACCATGGAGTCTGTAAGCCAATATATGTAGCACACCCACCACAAACTTTTGGAGAAACAAATGAAGGTTAGGTTTCCTAATGAGACTTGCTTAGAATGCAATGAAGGAGAGGCAGGGTCTCTGAGAGGGTTTTGCTGGGTTGAAGCACAGTTTCAGTCTGCTCTTTGAGTTTATCAGGGGAGGCTGCTCACTAGAAACTCTCCGTAGTGCTGTGACAGTTGATGTGCTTTGCAGTTCTGTTGAAGCCAGTGTTTTTAGCGAGCTAGTACTATGGCTGTAATCCTGTTGTGCAGCTTTGGAAGCACAACAGGGATGATGTTGTTGTCACTGGCAGACTATGGATGATAAAAGGCAATTTTGGGATGCACATGTCTCATACACAAAGTGAGGAAGTCATGTACACCCAAAAATGCCAAAACGAAGCCTTCAGTCAGAGGCAGTTTGCGCCTGCTGATGACATAATCCCTGTTGCACACGCAGAGATGTGCAACAGGATTTCAGCCGGTGAGTTCAACAGAGCAATGCATCCATCCTATTCCATGAGTTTATGAAAGTTCAGAAACATGTTCTCTGACTATGACTATAAGCGAATCTTGCTATTTATGAGTGTTCAGTAATTGTTTAGTTTTTTTTCATGGTTGAGCTATATTCTTCAGCTCTTCTATTCCTGCTTATACCTTTCTTCCCTGTCTGTTATTGGTAGCTAAAGTATCTGTTTCTGTTTCTGTTTCTATATCTATTTCTGCACATGCCTCCTTGGAGGAGGCTGGAGTGGGCTTAATAGAGTTGCTAGGAGGTCTGGTGTGCCATTTGGTGTTATTTTCACATCAAGATGGGCATACAAAGCTCTAAAAACCCTGTTTTGGTCCCCACCAGCCTGCTGTAAGAAATGGGAGGAGTCAGGAGGGCTAATGAGAGGGAATTTTTGTTTGCTTTTTTTTTTTAAAGAGCCAGTTGAGAAAAGCAAACAAAAATCTCTCATCCTGGTGCCACCACCAGTTGTCCCTTTTAAAAAGCCAAGCCAAAGCCCCCCTACACATGTAGTGGAGGGACATGTACAGCAGAGTTCAGCTTTCCAAAGGCAGCCTCCTCATACTGCCTTTTGAAATTAAACACTTGCATGGAGCTGAAGTGTTTAATTTGCTTACATTACAAACTAGCCATCTTATTAAGCCGCAATATTGACAAATTGAAAGAGGAAGGCTTCCTTTGGTCTGTTCCCAGTGACAACACATGCTAGAGAAACCAACATAGGGCAATCGTGTTGTTGTTATGTGTCATCAAATCAGAACCTACCTATAGTGATCCTAACAGGAATTTCAAGGTAAGGAGGGAGATATACAAAGAGTGGTTTTATCAGTTCCACACCCCTAATGAACTTCCATGGCTGAGCAGGGATTTGAATCTAGGCCTCCTGAGTCCTTGTCTGTTACTCTATCCACTTTACCACACTGGATATCAGAGTGATCCTACCCATACCCCAAAATGTAGAAGACCCTTGACAGTACAGTGGTGCCTCGCAAGACAAATGCCTCACAGGACAAAAAACTCATAAGACAAATGGTTTTGGCAATGGGGTTGATGACTCGCAAGACCAATGTTCCTACGGCCGTGCTTCGCAAGACAAATGTTTTCTGTTTTTTGTTCCTGCCTCATGTTTGCTGATTTTTAAATGTTTTTCTATGATGTTTAAAAAGTTAAAGTTTTTTGGATTCATTTTTTAAAAAATCATCTGCACAATATGTATGGCTTTAAAGAGCACTTAATAACCTCTTTGTAAAC